GGGGGGGGCGGAGCAGGGGCCGGCCGCTGAGGTTGGAGCCGCGGCCTGGTGCCAGGCCGCGGGGCAGCGGCGGGCCACGCGGCCCTGCTCCCCGCAAAAGGATGCTCACCCGCTCCCTTGAGGGCCCAAAGCAGCTCTGGGTCGGGCCCATCCTTGGTGGCATGCACCTGCAGGGGCACACGGCCAGGCAGCACGGCGCCAGGGGCGTTGAAAGACAGGCCGCCAAGGCCCCCCGCCCTCTGCGTGCAGCGCCGCCCTGTCAGTATCTGCTGGCTGTGGCAGCCAGCTGGGTGTGGGCCCGCGCTCTGCCTGCCCGCCTCCGCCGTGCCGACCCCGAAGCAGCGTGAGCCCAGGGCCTGCCCAGCGCTCACCACAGAGCCATCCGCCAGCACCAGCTGCGCCTCCAGCAGGCTGTCGCAGGTGGCCCCGTGGGCGCGGGACAGCACGCTGAGCCCGCCGTGCAGCGCCAGGCCGCCCACCCCCACCACGGCGCACACGCCAAGCGGGACCGCCAGCCTGCACATCGGGTGGTGGCGGTGGGTGGCGGGTGGCGATGAGGCTCAGCAGGCAAGGCATGCAGGAGCGCGGTGAGGCTAGCGCCTCTCTCATCCAGCCATAGGAATACTACACAAACACACGCACAAACACACGCTCACCACCAAAAACCTCCCCACACCACACACACACACATACACATACACCCTCACCCATGCAGCGCCGTGTCGGCGTCGATGTAGCAAGCCAGCGCGCCGCCATCAACCACCGCCGTCTTTTCCGCAGGGTCGACATACACGCTGCGGGGCGGGAGCAGGGGGGCAGCGCGTCGGCAGGTGCAAGGGCAGGCCAGGGCGTGGCAGGCACGTGGAGTGAGCCCCAGCTCACAGCGGGGCGCCAGCAGCCACGCCGCCGCCACCTGCCGCTCTGCTCCACCACCCCGCCCCCAGCCCACTACGTACACATCACCCACCTTCCCATCAGCGACATATCGACCATGAGGCCTCCATCCACCCAGCTGGGGTTGCCCTGCAGCCAGGGAGAAGGGCCAGCCGGGAGCCGCCACACGGGCAGGGAGCAGGCAGCAGGGAGGCAGGGGCCCAAGTGGCATGGCGGCTCCACTCTGGAGCTGGGGCTGCAAACCATGCCGGGAAGCAGCCACGCTCCTGCTGCAGCTGCGCTAGCAGCAGCAGGCACACAGGGGTCGAGCAGCGGGCGTGCCCTCACCGCGCCGTGGCCGCCGCTCCTCGCGGCCAGCTGCAGGCCGTGAGAGGTGGCAAACTTGACGGCAGCAACCACGTCGGCCGTCCCTGCAGCGCAAGCGCATGTGCACCGCTGGCCAGCTGTCTGGAGTAGGCTTACATCCTGGCCCCCTGGCCCGCAGAACGGCAGGCCTGCGGCAGGCAGGCAGCGGGGCCAGCGGCGGCAAGGGCGGCACCTTTCCCCCTCACCCCGCGGCTGGATCACCAGCGCCGGTGTGGGGGCGGTTTGGCCGTTCAGAGTGTGGCTGGGGGAGACCCCCCACACTTTTATGGCTTCAGCAAAGCCCTCATCCGCCGGCAGCAGCACGTTGCCGCGCACAGACGCACGCAGCGCCTCCACTCCGTCCATAATGTTGCACTGGTCAGAGAAGCGCACGGTTTGAGAGGAGGGCGTTCGAACTGTAGAGAGTCCACCTGGCCGCAGTACCGCTAGCCCTTAGGGTTGTTTGGAGGGCTTGCTATTGACACTGCTCTGGAGCCATGAAATCATACTTATCACGTTCCCAGCTTGATATTGGGCGGTCAGGCGGGCCACACGGCATGCTGTGTGGCGTGAGTCAACGATCGGCGGCACTGGCCGGCAGCGGCAGGAGCACAGGCAAGGTGGCAGCAGCGGGGCCAGGGACGGCATTGAATAGGAGCGTTGGATGAAGAAAAAAGGCTGCAAGGTACAGGAGGCACTGCCGCTGGGAGGGTATGTCATGTGGCTCCTGCCTGAGCATCCATTCTCCGAGTCAAGTCGGGTGGCATCATGAGGGGCGAATCCGTCACACCATGGCCTTTGAACCAGCACGAGAACCAGGGGCTGAGCTCGAGAGCTCAGCCGAGATGGCATTCACAATCTTCTGGCTAGTATACCGCAGCTCCAGGGGCTCTTGGGACAGCACCGCGTCAAGGTTGCCCCGCCCCGACCCACCCAGCGCCATCAGCCGGTTCCTGCGGCAATGCAGTGGGGATAGGCGGCATGGGGTGAGCAAGGTGGCGTGGCAAGGCACCATGGGGAGGTGGCGTGACGGGGCAGGGGACCCGGCCCTTGCTCTCGCGGCCGGCCCTGCATGCCGGGGAGCAACAAACACAACCACGCGCTGCTGGTGCCGCTCCTGCCCAGCGTGATGCATGCACGGGTGCTGCTCCTGCACCGTGTGCAGCGCAGGCGCACCTCGCCAGCGCCCCCGCCCGCGGCATGGCCGTGTGCCGCATGCCTGACGGCAGGAAGGGTGCCAGGGTGGAGGGCAGCCAGGTCAGCACGCCCTTCAGGGTGGGGGAGGGGTCTTCATAAGGCTCCAGAGGGTCTGTGAAGTCTGATGAGCGAGCCAGGCCTGCGCAGGGGAGTCACCGGGGCTGCTGACGTGAGCGGCGGGTGGTGCGTGTGCCCTCTCCTCTGCAAGGCATGCCGCAGCGCGCCCGATGCTGCCCGGGCCCGTGCCGCCGCACTCGAAGGCCTGCCGGCAGCCGAGCTGCCAGGGGCAGCCTGCCTGCCTCACAACACCGCCCCCGCCTCACACCCTGACAGCCCGCCGCGCACCCATCAGGCCGCGGCTAAGAAAGGCCTTCTTTGAAGGCGCTGGAGCTAGTGTCTAAACCCTCCGAGAGGGCACAGGTTCGATTCCTCCCATGTCGAAACTTTGTGAGGACAAACGCGGCATAGCTGACCGGCTCAGCGCCAATCCAAGCCAATTCCTTCGGGAACGCCTAATAGAATCGCCAAGGCTTCGGCACAGGCCTCCCCGGGACCCATTCACTACTAGTGGGGGGTACTGCACTTGGCGCGTCGGGCAGATCAAATAATGGTCTAAAGCTAGACGTTAAAACCGGGAAGTGAAGCTTGTGGAGGCTCTTCCCCACCTTTACCTTTACCTTTTACCCTGTGTGATGCCAGCTGGCTCTGGGTGGCCACGGCCGTTGACGGGCGGCTGCCCCAAGTGGGCGCGGTGGAACCACTCCAGCCCCGTCTGCAGCCAGGGAGACGGGGTGCGGCAGCCGGGTGCACGACAGATGGGGGTGGGAAGGCGGCAGGCGCGGCAGGCGTGCATCCACCTCCTCCCTCGTGCACCCTGCTCCCACTGCCAGCCTGTATACCGCAGCATCCCCACTCTCCCATCCAGCAACCCCACGGGGGGGGTGGGGGGGTGGGGGGGATGCCGCCTCGCTCGCATATCACCGCCACCACCTCACATGCCACAGCTGCACGCCAGGACCCCGCCGCCCACCTGGCACAGCGCAAAGTTGCGCCAGAAGGCGGAGACTGCGGGGGAGCAGCGGGTGGCCAGGTAGTTGAGGTAGTCCAGGTCCCACAGCACCACTGTGCAGTCGGACACCGCCCGCACCAACCGCCTCTCGCCCTCGCCGTGCTCAAAGGCGATGTAGACGCCTGCGGGGGGTGCGGGAGGGCGGGGGGGTGGGGGATTTTGTGTGTGGTGGGGATGCATGCAGTGGGGTGGCGGGAGATGGGAGTTGGTGGTGGTGGGCGCGGGCGCGCGGGCAGGCCGCTTGGGTGAGCATGACCAACACGGCATCCGCCCAGCATGTAACCTCAGCAAGGCTGGCAACAAACAAGCTGCTCTGCTCTGCGTTCGCAGTGCAGCAATGGTGGGCGCCAGCCGGATGGCGTACCCAGCACGTTGAGCAGCCCGATGTCAAATGTTTGGCCGCTGATCAGCTGTGTGTCGTCCTTTAGTGTGTTGCCCTGCAGCAGCAGGAGGCGGCACGTGCATGCCAGGTCGCATGGGCTTCGGCGGCCAGGCAGATTTGCTTTCATCGGCAGCGGCCCGGGCTGGCTGCACGCCTCGTGCCGTGGCCGCCTGCGCATGGCGCCGACATCAGCCGCCTGTGGCGCCACCCACGTGCGGGCATTACCACCGCTGGCGCCCATCCACGCCCATGCAAGCAAATCACGCATACCCCTCGTGCCTACCGCGCAGCCCTGGAGGTCCCTTCCTCTCCCTCCTCCCCAGCCCAGCCCAGCACACCTTGTCATCCTCCATTCGGTATGTGGCAAGCCCCTCCACTAGCAGCATGAGGGTGCACTTGGTCGCGGCGGCGCTCAGGATCTCCTCCCCTGCCTTGAACCGCACAAAGCGGGCCCGCTTAGTGGACTGCAGCAGAGGAAGTGCGTGTGTGTGCATGGGAGGGAGGCATGGGTGGTGGCTGGCTGCAACTCCGCTCTGGTTGCTCCTCCAAATCCTATTCCTGTTAGGACAGGAAACAACAGCTGGGCAACCAAGGCATACACAGACACACACAGGGTCCCCTTGCGCAGAGACACACACAAGAAAGCCCGTGCACTCCCCGCCTCTCACCTCCAACACCTCCAGCTTGCCCATGCCCGAGCGGCGATACAAGAACTGCCACAGCTGGTGCAGGTCGGCGTCCTTGAAGGTGATGCGCCGCTCGTCCCAGAACAGCTGGAACAGTGCGCAGCCGTGAAAGAACAAGTTGAGTGTGGCCCTGCAGGGAGGAGGCCGAAGGGAGGGGAGAGCGCCAAGGGGGAGGGTGCGTACTTGCGGCGGCAGGAAAGCGGCGGCTCACGGCTTTACGCACTTGGATGCCATATTGATGGGGCAAACCCCTGCCTGCTATGCAGCATCCTCCTCCTTCTCACCAGATGATGCCATCCAGCGAGTAGAAGCCCGGGTTTGACACTCCCGGCCAGGCCGGGTAGCCCACGCTGGCGGCAGTCATGAGCCAGATGTAGGCCATGGTGAGGCAGAGGCGGATGAGCAGGAGGCTGCAGGGGCCAGAAGTGGAGGGCAGCGCAGGCCGAGCAGGTGGGCACGTGGGGGGCAGCCGAAAGCGCCAGCGGTACATGGCGGCAGCCGCGCACAACTTAAAAGCACGTCGCCAGTACACTCACTCGCCAAACAAACCCGACATCAGGAAGCTTGCACTGCCCTGCGTTCCAGCAGGCAACCCGCGCGTGAGTTGTGGCGGCAACCGAAGCGGGTGGGACGCAGTCCTCCTGGGGTCTAAGCCAGCGCTGCCCAGCACTGGGCAGGGCTCTTCTGAATGTTCCACCAACGCACTGGGCTGCCCAGCGCAAGTGCTGTCACATGCCGCGCGGACAGGGCGCATGTGGGTAGCGCCAGCGCCCCTTTCGCGCCGCCCAGCACTGCCCGGGGGATGCTGAGCAACACTGGCCGGTGGGATGTTCTGGCCACTGGCCAGAACGCTGGATTAGGCCCCCCGGGGCTCGGCGGAAGGGTTTCCCTGCGTTCCAGGCAGCAGGATCGCTTCCGCGACTCACCAACTGCATCCAAATGCATGCTGGGGTGAGTCTGGTCGCCATGGTGCCGAAGAGACGGGAGTTTATCCAGTAGGAGTTCTCACTCGCCGCAATGGCGGTCTTCCTGCCCCGGGATGCTCACCAAGTGTGTTTTCTGCAGTTGCTCCTTCTACTAGGGTGAAGAAGCCGGTGAAGAACGCGCGGGGAACCTCAGCACATAGCACGGGAGGCACGCGGGCCCGGGAAGTTCTTCAAAGCAAAGAACCTCTTCATTTCTCGATGCAGAGCCACAAATTTACTAGCACGATTTGCGCCCAACTGGCATGGCGGAGCCTGGAGCTGGGGCTGCAAACCATGCCGGGAAGCAGCCACGCTCCTGCTGCAGCCGCGCTAGCAGCAGCAGGCACACAGGGGTCGAGCAGCGGGCGTGCCCTCACCGCGCCGTGGCCGCCGCTCCTCGCGGCCAGCTGCAGGCCGTGAGAGGTGGCAAACTTGACGGCGGCAACCACGTCGGCCGTCCCTGCAGCGCACACGCATGTGCACCGCTGGCCAGCTGTCTGGAGTAGGCTTACATCCTGTCCCCCTGGCCCGCAGAACGGCAGGTCTGCGGCAGGCGGGCAGTGGGGCCAGCGGCGGCAGGGGCGGCAGAGGCAGACCCTCGCCCCGCGGCTGGACCACTAGCGCCGGCGCCGGTGTGGGGGCGGTTTTGCCGTTCGCAGTGTGGCTGGGGGAGACCCCCCTGACTTCTAAACTGACTGATATACACCCGATACAGCAATTGAATGTTCAGGCCCCAACTGAGTGCGCAGCTGAGAAAAAAGAGGGTCCCACACTTTTATGGCTTGCTGGAAGCCCTCGTCCGCCGGCAGCAGCACGTTGCCGTGCACAGACACACGCAGCGCCTCCACTCCCTCCATAATGTTGTTGCCCTGGCCAGAGAGAAGCGCAGGGTTTTCATAGGGCCTGCTGTTGCTAAACACAGTGCTCTGGAGGATGAAATGAAATCATTCTTATCATGTTCCCAGCTTGATTTTGGGCGGTCAGTTGGC